CATATGCCTACAGTTTAAAGAAACCGTAAACAGACGCCCTTTTACCCACCACCCAGATCAAAAAGTGGAATGTTGCCAGCACCACCTCCCCATGCCTAACCCTGATTGCATCTGTATTACTTTGTTAAATAACAGCTTTGTGCAGATAAATGATAAGTATCTTGGGGAAGATAGTTTGCAACTACTGCCTGGATTTTTTTTTTTTTTTAATGCAAAAAAACATCAACTATGTTTGCTCCTTCCTTTAGCTACATTTTCTGCATTGGCCAAGGTTAGTGAAACAGGATGTTCCATGTTAGACGTACTGCCTTGCTTTGAGATGGAAGACAGGGATCGTGGTTTTATCTGTCTGGTGTGCGGACTTCAGGGTATAGTAATATGAAGAGAAGCTATAGAAGGCAGTTGTAGCGTAACCTGAGATTATGAGAGAAAGGAGAGAAATTCTCTGGAGAAGAAACTTTGCTGGAGATGAATGAGGAACAGTAGTTTTTAGTAGCTGTTGACTGCTAGTGGGTTGCCTTCTCTATATTCAAGGGACTCCTGGGTGGCTCAGTCAGTTAAACATCCTACTCTTGATTTTGGCTCAGATGAATGATCTCATGGTTCGTGAGTTCGAGCTCCAAGAGAACTGTTAGGAGTTCTCTCTCTCTGCCCCTTCCCTGCTGTCTCTCACGTGCTTTCTCTCTCTCTCTTTCTCAAAATAAATAAATAAAGCTTAAAAAAAAAAGGTATTTCAAAATCAGGTTGGATTATAAATGGAAGAGAATTATAAAAGGGAGAAGTAGAGAAGGAAGAGGAAGAAAGAGTTTCTTTTCTGTTCTTGCCTTAATTTGGTGTCTGTACTGGTTGAGAATACAGTTTTCTTTACTAATCATTACACCATGCCGTCGATCTTTTTCTCCCCTCCCCGTGACACAAATCGTTGATTGACTGACTCAATCATTCCTTCCTTCGTGTAACATTTTATTGAACACTTGTGACATTCCAGACTAATGTTGAACACGAGAGACACAAAGGCAGAGCAAATGCAGTCCCTGCCCTAAGGAACTTATCCACGAGCCAGGAAACCTGAACGTGTTGGAGGAGGGGCTGATGAGCAAAGGCAGAAAGGCATCTAAAGAAGGGAAGGTGGTTTGTGTGTTCCAGACGATTCCATCTAACTGAAGTGTAGCATCCAGAGGGCTGTGGAGCCAGGCCTAGACGGAGGGACCTTGTATGCTTTTCTGCAGGCTTCGGACTTTTCTCCGGTAGCCATGGGGAACCTCTAATGGGTTTTATGGGTTTAAAAAAAATTTTTTTTTTTTTTTGAGAGAGAGTATGAGTGGGAGAAAGGGGCAGAAGGAGAGAGAGAGAAACCTTCAGCAGCCTCCACATTCAGCATGAGCCCAATTTGGGGCTCAATCCCACAACCCCTGGGGTCATGACCTGAACCGAACTCAAGAGTGGGGATGCTCAACCAACTGACCACCCAGGTGTCCCAACTAGTGGGTTTTAAACTGGGTGTCATATAATACACATTTTGAAAGATCACTCAGATGACAGTGTAGAAGATGATTTAGGGGGTTGTGGGGACAGGTGAAGGAGAGCCAGTTGTCCAAATGAGATTTGATGGAGGTCTCGTCTCGGGTTGCAGGGCCAAGGAAGAGGAAGGCCCTGATACGTGAGGCAGGATTCACGTTGGCAACCAGTGTGAGCGGCAGCGTCTAGGCTTTGGTAACTGGACTCTTCTAGGCTCCCCCACAGGACATGGCCAGCTGGTGGGTTTTCCTGTGTGGCCGACCCATCCCAGTGTACCTGCTCCTGCAAGCCTTTGATCTTTTCTTCCGGCGACTGCTGCACCAGTTCTGCTATCATTTAGTATGGTCCGTTGCTTTTCTAAGCTCCCAAGAGGCCACCTTCCCCAGCACGTTAGACCCAGGGAGCTTGCCAAGGTGCCAATTCTGTGTCACGAGAGAATGTCCCCGTAACCAGTGGGCTGTCCCTCATCCAGCTTTATATTCCACACTCCTTGCCCCAGTGCCCTCGGACCACTCCCACGTATGCTTCTAGTCCTATCTGTGTCCGTGTTAGCCTGGGCCTGCACATCTTTGGCATAAAAATCCGCGTGCCCCCCCCCCCCCCCCCCCCCCCCCCCCTTAGCAGGCCTAGCGGGCCCCAAGCAAATAATGCTGAGATTTGACCCTAATTATGGTCTATGGCCATGGGGGAAAACGGAAGATGGGCAGGTCCTTTGCAGGGCAAGCATTGTCTTGTAAGGAGCTTGTCTTGTGTGAGAGCACCGTGCCGCCTGTCTTCCAAGGAGAGGGAGTCGAGGGACTCTGGGGTTCATGGTTCTCCAGTGAGTGTACATAGATAGCCCCTTCTCAAGCCTCAGAGGCCACTGTTGCCCCATCAGAGCCCCGACTTTGCCTTCATAGACTTACCTGGGCTAAGAGCACAGCCTTCTTTTTGTCCTCCACTCCTTAAAGTTAGGTCCCTGTGGCTGCAGGAAATGGCGGTCTTTAAAATTTGCCAAAGGAGGCTGACTGCCTGTCCTACTTGGCTTTAAATTGTTGACTGCTGTGTCCGAGACTTTCTCCCGTTTTGGTGAATGGATGGGTCTTAATAATAGCCACCCACTTCTACAGTTTTAAGGAAACAATTTCACTTGCATTTCCCGTAAGCCAGCCGGTGGTACACTTACCATAACACGCCAGGGACCGTGTCGGGGGATGGGTCCTCCTTGCCATCTGGCTGGTAGGTAACCTACCCCCAACTTGCACCCGCAGAGTCCGCTTCCTTAGGCAGCTGCTGATACCAGGTTCTCTGGAAACAAACGTGAGATGGAGACCTTTGTGAAATCTGTTTATTGAAGGAAGGCTGTCCTGACAACGGGGACAGCAGAAGCCAGATGGGGCAGGGGAGCAAAACTGAACAACGGTGGGGTCTTGGTAGACACTCGCTCCGGCCTGGTTCCTTGGGAAGCTTTGGAAGACAACTTGGGCCACAGCGTCGCCCGACCTTCAGGCAAGGGGCCTGGCCTTTCGTATGCCCTGCCCAGGTCTCGCTGGTTGCTGACTGCCCTGTGGCGCTCTGATGAAGGGGAAGTCCAGGGCACTTTCTTGGACCAGGAGGCTCTGGTTCCTGATTCCTGGCGAAGGAGCCGCAGTGGGCTGTCAGTGGCCAACATTCTCAGCAGCTGGAGAGTGGAATGCCGGGAGGGAGTGGAGGCGGGTGTTAGAGCGTCACTGCACACCCCATTCCCACTTCAGCCCTTGGTTGTTGTTTTTTTTTCTTGCTTCTTAATCGAATAGCACATCTTGGAGATCATTCCGGATCTATTTACATGGGGCCGGCTTGTCCTTTTAAAATTATGCTTCTGGGGGGCGTCTGGGTGGCTCAGTCGGTTGAGCGTCCGACTTCCGCTCAGGTCATCATCTCACGGTTTGTGAGTTCGAGCCCCGCGTCGGGCTCTGTGCTGACAGCTCGGGGCCTGGAGCCTGTTTCAGTTTCTGTGTCTCCCTCTCTCTCTGCTCCTCCCCTGCTCACACACTGTCTCTCTCTCAAAAATAAAGATTAAAAAAAATTTTTTTAATAAAAGTAAAAATTACGCTTCCTGAAGTATAACGGATACACTGAAAGGTAACATCGTATGTACACCTGATTTTCACAAGCCCACACACCTCTATGACCAGCATCCAGATCAAGAACTAGAACAGGGCCAGCCTCCCAGAAGCTGCCCTGATACCCCTTCCTATCACTACCTGTAACTCAGCCTGTCCTCTATCCTCTCTTCTTTCCTGATTTGATCTTTATGTCAGTGGAACCGTGAATATGGCCCTTTTTATGTCTGCTTCCTTACACTCAGTGTTTGTGAGATTTGCTCACCTCATCGCATGTAGCGATTATGCTTGTTGCATGTGTGTTTCCTGTGGGAGTACACCACAGTTTATCCACCCTACGGTTTACAGCATTCGGCCGTCTGTTCCGGGCTGTCGCGAATAGTGCCATTGTGACCATCCCATTGTGTGTATTTTGTTGCACACGTGGACCCACGTCTGTTCCGAGTATACCTGGGATGGGCATTGCCAGGGCACGGGAGGACGCTGTTGTGGATAACTGCTGAACCGTTCCCCAAAGCTGTTTTGACACCAATTTTACTCCAACCAGCATGGTTTAGAAATCTCCAGCACCTCGTATTTTCTCTTTCTCATTCTGGTGGGTGTGTAGAATTAATTTTGTTTTTCTTTTTTCTTTTAAATGTTTATTTATTTATTTTGAGAGAGAGAGAGAAAGCACAAAGCGGTAGACAGTGGGGGGGGGGAGGGGCTCAGAGAGAGAGAGAGGGAGAGAGAGGGAGAGAGAGAGAGAGGGAGAGAATCCCAAGCAGCCTCCACGCTGTCAGCACGGAGCCCAGAGTGGGGCTTCATCTCATGAACTGAGAGATCATGTCTTGAGCTGAAATCAAGAGTTGGACACTTAACCAACTGAGCCACCCACGTGCCCCAAGAATTAATTTTCATTTTCCTGATGACTCATGAGGACGGGCACCTTTATGTTTGTTTATTGGCCATTTGGATTCCTCCTTTGTGAAGTGTCCGTTCAAATCTTTTCCATTAGCTTATCTGATTTTTCTACGAGGTCATCTGCTTTTTCTTTCTTGGTAAGGAAATACTAAGAAAATAGGAGTCCTTTCTCAGATAGGTATATGTAAATATATGTTTATATTTACAAAGTCTCTGCTTGCCTTTCATTCTCCCTTTCTTTTAATTTATGTATTTTAACTGAGATATAATTGACGTATGACATTGTGTAAGTTTAAGGTATGCAGTGTGTTGATCTGATATATTTTTATATTGCAGTATGATTGTAGCTTTAGCTAATATCTCTATCAGGTCACATAATTATTTCCTTTGTGTGCATAGAACCCTAACCTCAACCCTAACCCAAGACCAGCCTAGGTCTTGAGCGCTTCCTGCAGAATTCAGTAAAACTTCAGTCTTTTGCAAGGCCCAAATAACTCAGTGTGAGGTCAAGCCAGATCTGACAGGAAGACTATTCTACTGAAACTCAAGCTTCTTAGCCTAGCAGAATTTTCTTACTCATCTATATCCAGTTCCAGCCACAGTAATTCACGTTTTCCTTTAACCCAGAAATTCATCTAAACCGGAAGGAAACCTAGTTGTGTCTAATGCTGTGCAGTCAGGGAAGAGGAAGCTGGGAGGTTTACACGGGGACAGTTTAAAATGAGGCCTTTGTTTTTGGACTTTAAAGAGCGGCTCCCCCTCCCACCAGGATGTGTCCTGCTCTCAGGAGACCATGCGTAGGCTTCTCAGGCTGCAGTGAATTTTCTTGCCCTTTGTAAGCCTCAGACTCTGGGTTCTCCCTCCTAGCATACGCAAGAGGGTCATAAGGCAACTGAACACACAGCGTTGTGTGCGAGTTGGAAGAGGCCTTTGGCTATTTTATGTAAGTGTTGTAAAGAATATGTCTTGTCATTCTGGAAAGGGCAAAACTATAGGGATAGAAAACAGATCAGTGGTTGCCAGGGCCTGGGGGTGCAGGGAGGGGGGTGCCCACAGAAGGGCATGAAGAAACCTTTAGGGGTGGTGGAAACGTTCTGTATCTTGATTATGATGGTGGTTACACAACTGTATGTGTTTGTCAAAATTCATAGAACTGCATACTGAAAAGGGTGAATTTTACTTTTGATGTAAATCATATCTCAATAAGCCTGACTTTTTTTTTTTTTTAACATTTATTTATTATTGAGAGACAGAGACAGAGCATGAGCGTGGGAGGGGTAGAGAGAGGGGGAGACACAGAATCCGAAGCAGGCTCCAGGCTCCCAGTTGTCAGCACGGAGCCCGATGAGGGGCTTGAACTCACAGACCGCGAGATCATGACCTGAGCTTAACTGACTCAGCCACCCTGGCGCCCCAATAAGCCTGACTTTAAAAAAGAATATATCTTGGAAGGGAGCGGGGGTTCATAGATATGCCAGCGTTCTCTCTCAGGCCTGGTCTCCACGTAGCTCAGGGAGCCCCTGTTTGTGGACAGGCGCAGATCCCAGTGTGGTGGTAGGAGGGGTGGGAGGTCAGCCTGGCTTTTGCACGGGCAGCCCTCAGTCACGGGCGGCCCTCGGTCACAGCCATTAATCCCAGCTCCCCAGCAACGGGTGCATGTGTCTCGCTGCAGGACAGAAGCTGTTCGTCCCAGACCTGTGCTTTGTTTTCTTCATTGGTTCATGACTGTTTGGGGTCATGCTGCAGAAGTCCTGTGTGTTCGGCCGCCAGGGCCACAGCAAGAGGAGAGCTTGCCTAACTCTCCTTTTACTTTAGCCAGTGTCTTCTTCCATTTCCGTCTAATCACAAGCTGAGAACCTCAAAGAGCCTACCAGTCACTGTGGTAGGAACTTCCGTACCTCCCTGGGAGTTTGCTCTTCCCAGGAGTTAGAATTCCAATAGAGTAAGTGGCACATTTAGAATAATTCTCCTGGGTCACAACAAGGTGAGATGCATCCTAACTGTATTTACTCCGAGTGCTTCGGGATTCACAGTTAAGAGAGGGAGATCGAGTTGCCGACGTTTCATTTGTACGTTCTTTTTTCTAAGCACAAGCGTACCTCGTTTTATTGTGCTTCTTTATTGCACTTGGCACATGTTGAGTTTTTTATAAATAAATTGAAGGTTTGTGGCAACCCTGCGTCGAGCACATTCCAACAGCATTTGTTCACTTCATGTCTCTGTCACATTTTGGTAATTCTTACAATATTCCAAACTTTTCCATTATTATATTTGCTGTGGTGATCTGGAATAAGTGATTATGACTTACCGAAAGCTCAGAAGATGGTTAGCATTCTTTAGCAATAAAATGCTTTTAAATTAAGGTATGTACATCATTTGTTTTTGTTTTTTTTACACAGAATGCTATTCCATGTTTAAGAGACTACAGCATAGTGTGAACATCTTTTTTATATGCACTGGGAAACCAAAATATTCGTTTGACTTGCTTTATTGCAGTATTCTGGACCCGAACCCACAATCTCTCCAAAGTATGCCTGTGTCCACGATTGCATTACAGGTAGAATTCTTTAAAGAAGAGACAGTATTATCACTAACAGTGATCGCTAATGATCACCAGTATTTTCATAGCACTGTATGATTTTTTTTTTAATTTTTTTTTTCAACGTTTATTTATTTTTGGGACAGAGAGAGACAGAGCATGAACGGGGGAGGGGAAGGGAGAGAGGGAGACACAGAATCGGAAACAGGCTCCAGGCTCTGAGCCATCAGCCCAGAGCCTGACGCGGGGCTCGAACTCACGGACCGCGAGATCGTGACCTGGCTGAAGTCGGACGCTTAACCGACTGCACCACCCAGGCGCCCCAGCACTGTATGATTTTTAAAACATTTCTTACTTGTTTTAATCGCCCTAGGAGATGGACAGGGCTGTAAATCCCATTTTACAAGACGAGGAAACTGAGGCTGAGATGATAAATTACTCACCCGAGGTCTCACTTATCAGTAAGTGCGAGAACCGAGGCACAAAACCGGGTCTTCCAGCTCCTGGTGTTGCCATCAGTTCGTTAAATAATTTCATTTTCCTTCTCCAGTCTTGCACACAGTTCACTGGCAGGACCGGAGGGTCTTAACGCCTCATTAAACTTAATAAATGTTGCCCCACAAACCTTTATTAAAAAACACGTGGCAGTGCGCGTTGTCCAGTTATTTTGTGAACAGTTTGTGCCAGCCTGCCATGTAGCCTGAGGGGCAAATGTTCAGAATCCTGAGAGCCACTGTGGACACATGCTTTTCTGAAGATCTTACTCTTGTATTCGTTCTACAGATCCCTCCTCCTGTCTTGTCCGTGTTCTGGTCTAATCACTCTGGGCCATACAAAGACAACTCTAACATGGATTTCTCCCTGCAGTTTATAATCTCGCAGGAAGAGCAGACACAGACCACACAGAGAGGACGTGATCGTGAATTGTACAGTTTCACAGAAGCCCTGAGAAAGGCGCTTTATGACATCAGTGTTGCGGACTTGGAAAGTGCCACTAAAGCGCTTGAACTTGTGGTTTGTTGTTTAATGCTGTTTCTTGACAAACCAGAGTGCTAAGAACTGCTGTGGTATTTGGCAGTGAAACTAAAGCCTCTGTGTTGGAGGAATTTCCTCGAAATTTCTTTGAAACCTACTGAAGCCAAGCGTACACACTCTCACCTCTGTTTCCTGTTGTCATCGTCCACCCCACCTTACGGGAAACTATGCTTCTTGTTGTTGCATTTCAAAGAAAATTTTGGTTAATTTTTTCAGCTTTTAAAGGGATGCATAGTGGCCTTATTTTGTCATGAAGCTGTTCCACAAATTCTATAAAAGTCAAAGGCTTCTGAGTCGAACAACAGTTGGTTACACGTACATACCAGCATCCCTAAGGAGCACGCTCTCTGCATTCTCTCAAGTGGCCTTACCAGGTCAATCACATAAAATAGCCCTGATTATTACAGAAGTCAATCAGACATAGGCTTTATCTATAGAAGGAACAGTGATAAGCAAGCTTTGCAGTAAAGGTTGCTCTAAGAATAGAATAGAATGTAGTTCCTAGCCATATATTCTACTCACTAAAATGTTAAATGCAAAAAAAAAAAAAAAGGGGGGGGGCGCCTAGGTGGCTCAGTCGGTTAAGCGTCCGACTTCAGCTCAGGTCACGATCTCATGATCCGTGAGTTCGAGCCCCGCGTCGGGCTCTGGGCTGATGGCTCAGAGCCTGGAGCCTGCTTCCGATTCTGTGTCTCTCTCTCTCTCTCTCTCTGCCCCTCCCCCGTTCATGCTCTGTCTCTCTCTGTCCCAAAAATAAATAAACGTTGAAAAAATAAATAAATAAAAATAAAAAAAATAAAATGTTAAATGCTATAAACACTAGAAGTGTATATTGTCAGCCTTAAAAATAAAAAATAATATTTATTTAATGTTTATTAATGTTTTTTTAGTGTTTATTTATTTTGGAGAGAGAAAAAGAGAGCACCAGCAGGGGAGGGGCAGAGAGAGAGGGAGACACAGAATCCGAAGCAGGCTCCAGGCTCCGAGCCGTCAGCACAGAACCTGGTGCGGGGCTTGAACTCATGAACCACAAGACCATGACCTGAGCCGAAGTCGGACACTCAACCAACTGAGCCACCCAGGCGCCCCCCAAAATAAATAATATTTTTTAAAAGAAAGAGAACACTCAGTGAGCCTAAGCACTTCATAGAAGTAATGATAATAATAAATACCTGTGGGCAGAGTTTACTGTCTACAAAACTATCTCACAGTTAATAACTAAGCTATTGTCTCCTGGCCCCTAACCACCCCAGAGGCTGGAACTGGCGTCCAGGGGTCATGTTTCTCCGTTACCCGCTGCTCCCTGCCAGGCTCTACCAACAGGGAGCGCTGGAAGGGCTGGAGGAAGAGAAGGGCCCACCTCAAAAGTCTAGTAGGGATTGCGTTGAATCTGCAGATTGCTTTGGGTAACGTGGACTTTTTGACGATAATTAATTCTTCCAATCCATGAGCATGGAATATTTGCCTTTCGGTCTGTGTCATCTTCAATTTCTTTCTGTCAGCTATATCCAAAAAGAAGAAGCAGTCTGAGCCCAGCTTCACAGGGCCTCTGGGATCTGATAACCCCCACTCTCTCCTCTGTTCTCCCAGCCCTTAGGGGAGGTAGCTGCTTCCTGAGATCACCCTCTGTCAGCTCAGGGTCCCCTTCTCGTGTTTTAGTTCTCCAGTGCCTGTTTAACCCGTGCCTTAGAATAGATTCTCTCTGTTAAAGTAACCAGTGTGGTTTCTGTTTTCCTAATCTGCCCTTGATGAATACAGCCTTTAATGTCACAAATTGTGAGGCATATTTTACTGGTGAGGGATGGAGACTTACTTAAGTGAAGTACAGTGATTTATCTGAAAGTACACAACCAGTAGTACACGAGCCAGGACCTGCACCTTCCACTTTGAGATCCTCTACTTTCCATTTGTGTGTTTGTTTGTTTGTTTGTTTGTTTATTTATTTATTTTTGAGAGAGAGAGAGAGCGCGCACATGCACACATGAGCGGAGGAGGGACTGAGAAAGAAGGGGACAGAGGATCCAAAGCAGGCTCTACACTGACAGTAGAGACCCTGATGTGGGGCTCAAACTCAAACCGTGAGATCATGACCTGAGCTGAAGGCAGATGCTTAACTGACTGAGCCACCCAGGTGCCACCCGAACTTATTAAAAAAAAATAATTTTATCCTGGGGCGTCTGGGTGGCTTAGTCGGTTACGTGTCCGACTTTGGCTCAGGTCATAATCATACGGTTCGTGAGTTCAAGCCCCGCACTGGGCTTGGTGCCATCAGTGTGGAGCCTGCTTGGGATCCTCTGTCTCTTCCTCTCTCTGCCTGTCTCTCCCCCACTCGCTCTCTCAAAAATAAACATTTGTTTAAGAAATAATTTTATGTTTACAGAAGAATTGTAAAGATAGTGGAGAATTCCCATAATACCCTTCCTCCAGCTTCTGCTACTGTTAACCTCTTACACACCACGGTACATTTATCCCAACTAAAAATTAGCATAGGTACATTACTATTTTAAACTACAGACTTTACCCAGCTTTCTTTTCACACACATAAAAAAAAACACAAAACAAAAAACCCTACAGACTTTATTAGGACCACCCCAGTTTTTCCATGTCTCTTTTCCGTTCCCAAATCTAATCC